TTTATAAAATCATAACCCAGACCACTGATTCTACAAGTGTAACTAAGTCAAAGAACTGTGTTAACAAAAGAAATTTTTAACTAGCTCTACTCCTTTACTCATATTTTTCATATGAGTAAAGGCAAACATATCATGCTCAGTAATACTTTTTAAATTCTCCTAATTTCTTTCCTATTCACATCATAGGTGACTTTCTGAAAAATGCCCCTAGAAGACCTCCAGCCCACACCTTCTGTCTCAGTTAGGTTTGCCATCTGTTGTGGTTTGGATCAAAATGGTCTTCCAAAAGGCTCATGTGTTCAGATATAGGGCTTTGGGGAGCTGATTAGATTGGGGAGAATTAACTCATCAGTGGGTCAACCCATGAATAAGTTCATAGCTGTTCTGCTGTGATGGAGAAAGTAGGTCACCAGGGTGTGACCTGGAAGGGCATATCCTGTCCTCTTCCCTCTCGCCCTCTCTGGCTCTTTCTGCTCTCTCTGCTTCCTAGCTGTCACGAGGCAAGCCGCCTTCCCTCTCTATGCCCCTCCACCATTGGGGCCAGCCTACCATGGACTGAAGTCTCTGAAACCATAAGTCAAAATCAATCATTCTTCCTTTAAATTGTGTATATATGTCAGATATTTTGTCTTAGTAGTAAAAGCTGCCTAATACACAATCCCCACTTCCTGCTGTCCTTCACACAAGCCAGAGATTCTGTGTGCCAAAGGGTGGGCCCTTCTTACATGGGGAGAAGCTGGCCTCGGCCAAGCCGTCATTTTCTGTGTGATGCAAGTGAAGAAAAAAGCACCCTGGCTGCTTATCTGACAGTGAGTACAGGGGTTGAATAGCCCTGAGAGACTGAGTGAGCTGAGACCGGCAGAAAATCCCACACAGGGCCAGCCCATCCCAGGTCTTCCAGTAGAGGTGGGCACCTACTATGGGAAGTACTTTGGCTTCAGCTCAGGGAACAGTGATCCTACCCTAAAAGAGCACCTAGTCTATGCCAGGAGTCAGATAATAGTTGCAGCAAGCATTTATCAAATGCTTATTGCCAGATACACTTCTAAGTGCTGTCTATTTATATATTGATGCTGTTCAGTCTTACAGTCATCTCTGAGGCAGCCTGTCTGAATAATTATCTTATCTTCTATCTTCTTGGCCAGAGAAATCTGTTCAGCCCTCAGCCAGAGCCCAGAACTGTGGTGTGGTAGTGGATCTGCGTAACAGTGGGTAAATGCCTAAGCACTAGAATTAGTACATGTGCTGCCAAAGAAAGCATGCTAGATGCTAGGTGCTAGGTGCTGGGTGCTAGGATTAAACTTTCTGCCACATCTGCCAATTATGGGCAGCAATTTGATCTTTCAACACATCAATTTCTTCATCTGTAAGATAGGACTAATCATGCTTGTTAATATTGCCTCACAGGTTATTACAAGGATAAAAAGAACCAGGTGTGGTGGTACACACCTGTAATCCCAGCACATGGGAGGCTGAAGCAAAAGAATCACCAAGAGTTTCAGGCCAACACAGTAGGCTACAAAATGAGTTCAAGGCCAGCCTGAACTACGTAGCAAGACTACCTCAAAAACAAAAAACAAAACAAAACGGGATTAAAAATTCAATACGGGGGCTGGGGATTTAGCTCAGCGGCAAAAGCGCCTGCCTGGCAAGTGCAAGGTCGTGAGTTCGGTTCCCGGTACCAGAGAAAAACAAAACAAAAACAAACAAACAAAAAAAATTCAATATGTACAAAGCCCTTCAGTGTCTGGTATAGTTATAGGCTCACTGATATTATTTTTGTTGCTATTTATCTCCTTCCATGGGAGCTCCTTCCAGCTGGGACACGGTCTTATTAATCATTATATTCGTAATACCAGCCCAGAACTCAGCATACTGTTGAAAGCAATAATTGTGTGATAAGTAAAAGAATGAATTTATTAATCATATGTCGCAGGCAGGGAGTTTGGAGGGTGTTTCCCTTCATGAGCAGGCATTAGATTCCTCCAAGAGTGATACAATGCAGGAGTGTGGCACTTCTTAGAGCAGATAGAGTTAAAGAAATAGTGAATACTAGACCATCGTTGAACTCTCCCGTTAGGAGAAGCCTGAGGCTTAGGGAGTCAGGCAACTTGCCTGGGGTTGGTTGTGCAGCTCGTTATCATTAGAGGGGACGTGTTAAGGAAAGTGGGCCTTTTAACCTCAAACTCACTCCTTGGGGAACTGGACAGACTTTTTAATTTCAGGCCAAATTTACAAAGTCTTATTGAATGCCAGGTGTCTTATGCTAGGCTCACAGAAACAGAGGTGTGATAAACTCAGGGAGGGTCTAGTTTGGGGCAGTGCAGACCTTACACAAATCCAGTGGGATGAGAGAAAGCTCAGGCATGATGAGAGCTGGTCATGTTTCCATCTGCAGATATCAAGAGACTGAAAAACAATCTGACAACTGTGGGAAAACAGGCATTGTGTAGAATACAATTTGAACAAACCTGTCGAGGTCATGCTTGAGTTATGGCTCTGGACCCTCTGGTTAAAGGGAGCTCTCCATACAGAATGGAAGCCCTGAGGGGAGCTGGGGGTTAATTTCTACTGGGGATGTCATGGGTGGATGGCAGTGGAGCCACTTCCCCTACAAAAGTAGTGCCTCCCCATGCCCCTCCCCACAGGACAGCCCCACCCCAGGGATCTTGGGGGAGGGGGAGAGCAGGGGGATAGTGCTGTGAAGCACACGTCACCCTGCCTAAGGCACAACTATAAATTCACATGATAATAGATCCACCAATATGGCTGGAAAGGCATGGTGCAGCTCAGGGGTGGGAAAATCATAACTCAGCTCACTCTGGTGCCATTAACCTCCCACCTGGGAGTAGTTTAGCACTGAGCATCCATTATGTATTAGTGATATTGAGGATGTAGGAGGAAGGGCTTTGTGTGGGTAGCAATCCAGGGTGAATGAGGCAGTACAGTAGAGCAAGATGAGCCTGGCACGGGAGTTAGGAGCTCTGGTCTCTATCATCACCCTGATCTGGGTGACTTTGGGCAAGTCGTTTATCTGCTCTGGCCTTGATTTCCTCATCTGTAAAATGGGGCTTCAATTAAATCATCTCCTGAAGTCTTTCAGGCTCCTAATTCAGTTCAGAATGTTTTATGCATTATGAAGAAACTTGCAAAAGTTGCATTCCCTCTCCTAGAAGGTATAGCGAGGCAAAATCTCAACAAGCAGATTTCAAGCCTTCGCAGAGCACGTTTCCCAGGCTGTGATAATAAGGCTTTCCCTAAAAAGCCCTTAACAGAAGAGCCCCAGTGTGACTCAGCCCAGGGCTTGGGGACATGCTCTCAGGCATGACATGTCTTTGACTTTTTTGTTATCTGGAGGGTGATTTCATATTCTATGCTGTAATCTGTCCTTGCTTGTGTTCATATAAAAATAGGATTTTTAAATTACTAAATCTAGATTTGCAGGTTGGCAGAGAACTTTACCTTTCATGTGAACTATAGTCAAGTCCTAACCCTGGATGATAGGATTACAGCAAATGTCTGATTTCTTGTTTGTGTTTTCTGTACTTTCAGTCTCTTCTCTAATTGATAAATACATATTTTAAAAATGAAATGTATCATGCTTTAGACCTTTGTATGTAATACTTGAGGGAAGGATTTCCCCATAAGGGTGGGTTCCCTAATGGCATTTTCTTACTCCGTTCATGGGATATCCAAGTGATTTAGAGACATCAATCACCTGAAAATATGTGCATCTGGATGATGAGGATGATGATAATGGAGATGACAGTAACTATCATTGTTGTGCTTTTACCCTATGCTAGCATTATATATTCTTACCTGTACATTTGTCTAATCTTTATTAATCTTGTGAGGCAGGATGACCCTCATTTTACCAGTGAGGTCATTGAAACACCAAAGAGTTAAAGCAACATTCCTGGTTGGAATGTCTTTCATGCGTGTCTTTTAACTTCTCAGCTCACCCCTAAGACCTGGCCCTTGCTGCAGCGGCTGCCACAGAGAAGTTGCTACAGAGAATCTGCTCCAGATTCTTATACTCAAGGGCATAAAGAGTATAGAATATGTACATGTCCCAATACCCTATGATGAGTACATTCATTTTCATAAAGATATACTGAGAAGTTCCTTCTCGCCTGCTTTTGTGCATTCTCGCAGCCTGAGATTGTGCGTGGCCAGTGTGGTAGAATGAACACCTACAGGAGGCCCAGCCAACAGTGGCAGGGAGGCCTCCAAATGAAGAGCAGATGCTAAGCAAGCCTTTCTCAGCAGGCAGGAGTAACCAGCAGCCTTTGCCTCCTGCTCCTGATGCCGGTAAAGTCCCTGCTCTCTGCCAACCTAATACTGCAGTCGCTCCCTGAATGAGAGGGTCAGTGGGGAAAAGGCAAAGGAGTGTCCTACATCAGTGAATCTCAAACTTGAGCATCAGAATTTCCCAGGATGCTTATTAAAGCACAGCACACCCACTCCCAGAGCTTCTGATTCATTGTACACCACTCTGATAAATGGCATCAGGCAACCAGCAATTCTCTGACGGATAGCAGCATGCAGGGCCATTTAAAGAGTGTGTCCAGATTCTAAAATACCATCCCTCAGGGTGTAGACTACAGGCTGCTCCAGATTCTTATCCTCAAGGGAATAAAGAGTATAGAATATGTACATGTACCAGTACCCTGTGATGAGTATATTCACTTTCATAAACATATGCTAATAAAAAGATTTTTAAAATTTTAAAGACTGCCACTAATTTTATCCATGAAAGCTACTTCTCATTATGCTAATTAGCAAAGTCTGCATGTAGCTGTGGATAACAAGTATACAGCAGTGGCTGGAGTGTGACCTTTCCTATATATGACCTTCTGGTTGGACACCTAGGATAGAACTTCAGTTAGCACAGACTTGTAATATAATCAATCTGAGTGAATATTTTGGAGTAAATTATAGGCCACCTTCATGGGAAAGATCTTAATTAACAAATTTTGGGGCTTTGTTTGGTCCCACAGACGGAGCCTGAAATCATAGAGGAAACCAATGTGGACAGAGTTCATGACCCCCGGGGCTACGCCAGGTCAAGGCCGGTGAAAGGCCACTCAGAGACCTCCACGCTGAGCTCGCAGCCGTCCATCGATGAGGTGAGGCAGCAGATGCACATGCTGCTGGAGGAGGCCTTCAGCCTGGCATCCGCAGGCCACGCCGGCCAGAGTCGCCACCAGGAGGCCTACGGCTCCACGCAGCACCTGCCCTACTCTGAGGTGGTGACCAGTGCCCCGGGGACTATGACACGGCCCAGGGCTGGTGTGCAGTGGGTGCCGACCTACCGCCCAGAAATGTACCAGTACAGTCTGCCCCGGCCGGTAAGTCCGATGTCCCTCTTGTCTGTCATCATCAGTCAGCCCAAGCCAGTGGGTCCAAGAAGGGTCTCAAAGCAGGGACTTCTTATGATGGCCCACCTTGGGAGTCAGAGATAGGCCCTTCTGGCTCTCATTCTAGCCTTCATCCATGACACAGAGCCTCTTATTCTTGTAGGCAAGATGTACAAAAAGCTGTTACCGCCGGAAGTGGTGGCACATGCCTGTATCCTAGCACTTGGGAGGCTGAGGCAGAATAACAAGTTCTAGTCCTTCCTGGGCAATTTAGCAAGACCCTGTCTCAACATAAGGAAAATTTTCAAAGAGCTTGGGATGCAGCTCAGTGTGAAGGCCCTGGGTTCAATCCCTACTACAGAAGAAAAAAATGTGGGGCTGCAGCTAAGTGCTAGAGGACCTCTGGGTTCAACCCACAGTCCCACCAGAGGGAGAAAAAAGAAAAGCCTTTATATTCGATCATAATATATTTTAGAATAAATTTTATTTTCTACTGACCCTCCTGAAAAGGCCTGATCACAATCTTCATTCAAGGAGAATGCCAGGTAAACTGTAAGTGATAGTTCATTTGGTAGTTGTTGCTTCCAGGACTTCAAATAACAATTTTAATTAGCTTGCATTTCATTCACTACTGTAGCATCTACATAAATCTTTTTCAGATGACAGGCATAGTTGTATAAATCATAGACCATACTAGATGGAGCTGGCATATAGATTCAGCCTTCTGATATCAAACGCCCTATGCCCGGGGTTACTCCTGCGAGGACCTTTATACATTGTTACTGTGATATGTCACTGCTCAAGAAGAGTCAACATTACTGAGTGTTTTACCAGTCCTGGTACTGATCCAAGTGTTACTTGTACATTATGTGTTCAGTGCTTACTTACAGCAAGCCCCTGGGACAAGTACTAATTTTATCCCTAGTTTACAGATGAGAAAACTGAGAATATACAGCTTGTGTAAGGATAGCCAGGAAGAGACAGAGTTGGGAGCCAAGGCCTGGCAGTCCAACACCAGAAACTGAGTTCTTAACCAGCGTGTCGTACTGTCTTGTGTTTTATTATATTGCCCCTCCTCTGTATTGTTCACTCCATTTACAGTAGATTGTTTGGGGCACCTGTGGGGCTGTACTCTCACCCCTAAGTACACACTATCCTGGGGCTTATGAACTGCTGTGATGCTGTGTAAATATGCACAGCGTCCAGCACACCGCAGCCTGCCTCTGTATAGCCCCTCTGCGTCTCCCCATGATGCTGCTCTTTGAGTCATGCCTGCTTCTCCTGGAGGGCCTTGTCTCTCCCCGAAGCTTCCTGTCCCCATACCATTGCTGGTTGGTTGGCAAACGACCCCGAAGTCTGTTGCAAACTGGGGCTCAAGAGAGGTGGCTGTGCTTGGGGCCATCATCAAGGCTTTGTCCCTAGTTCGGCAGGTTTAGAATTTCTATCTTGTCCCTTTCTCCATGGGGATCAGATCCCAGGAATCTGACTTATGCTGATTAAGCTCATAACTGCTTTACTATTAAGAATATGAGTTTGCCAACCTTCAGCGAGTATCGGGTGGCCAGGTGACGGGGTGACCTGCCCAGGACACTGGTGCTCGCTGGTCTGTGTGCTCCTTCACTAAGTACTGTAAACACCAGTTTGGGGGAAATAAGATAGCACGAGAACCAGTTGTTTTAAGGTCATCTTTTCACTTCGTGATGTGCAAATCCAGAGTACAAGCAATAAAGAAAATAAACACAAGATGTCTTTATTTATAGCCTGTTTTCTGAAATACAGGTAGAATATAAAGAAAAGTTCTTTTTATTTTCCTTTTTTTATGGTGCAAGAGATCAAACCCAGGGTCTCATGCATGCTAGACAAATGCTCTACTGCTGTGCTATGTCCCTAGCCCTCAAAGAAAAACTCTTAATATAATATTAATATTTTTATTGTGGTGAAGTATACATAACAGAATATACTATTTTAACCCTTTTAAGTGTACAATTCAGTACACTTAAAAATTCGCATTGTGCAATCGATCTCCAGAATTCTTCATTGCACAACATGGCACTTTGTACCCACTAAAAAACATCCTCCCTTCCCTCCTCCCCGCAACCACCATTCTATCGTCTATGAATTTGACCTCTGTAAGTACTTCATGTAAGTGGATTTTTATGTCTTTTTATGACTAGCATATTTTACTTAGCATAATGTCTTCAAGGTTCACCCATGTTGTAACATGCATCAAGAACTTCCTTCCTTTTAAAGGCAGAGTAATATTTGTTGCTTGTATAGAGCACGTGCTGTCTATCCATTCATCTGTCAGTGGGCGGTTGGCGTGGTTCACTTTTTGACCATTGAGGATAGCGTTATTGTGAATTTCACGGTACAAACATCTCTTGAAGTCCTTGCTTCCCATTCTTTTGGGTGCACACCCAGGAGTGGAGTTGCTGGGTCATATGGAATTCTATTTGTAATTTTTAAGGAACTGCCCTGTTATTTCCCACAGTGGCTACATCATTTTACAGCCCCACCCCCAACAGTTCCCAAGAGTCCCCAAATCACCACATCTTCATCAGCACAGGCTAGTTGCTGGTCTTCTGGAAGTAGCCACCCTAATGAGTGTGCGATGGTATCTCGCTGTAGCTTGGCTTGCATTTCCTTAATCTGTAGCGCTGCTTAGCACCTCTCCATGTGCTTGTTAGCTATTTGTGTTCCTTCTTAACATAATTTTTCAGACAAAATAGACTTGGGGGAAATGACTAGGTCTCAGGAATACCAGATTTCCTCCACCATGAGGGAACTTTGGTGGGTGCATTCAAAAAGCACTGCGTGGGGCGGGGATATAGCTCAGCAGCATTAGTGTTTGCCTGGCAAGCCTGAGGTCATGAGTTTGACTCCTGGTACCAAAAAAAGAAAAAGCACCACGTTACCAAAGAATGTCAGCAGCTCCAAGGCTACCACTGGCCACATTCCCGTCAGTCTGGATCTGAGCATTCCTTTTCTTTAGAAAGAGTTAGAAAATTTCTCACTCACCTTCAAACCTGTCTCATAAATGCTTTCCCATGACAATCACATTGCAATTTCCAAGATTACAGTGTTCTAATTGCACATTACATCAGCACCTGCCTTCAGGAAAGAGGGCATTTCCTCTGAGATTTAGCAAACTCCTTAATCTTACCATGTTTACATCGTCCCTTTAGGCTGCTTTCCTCAGGGAAAAGTCCTGCCGTCCACTCATTACCACTGGCTTCCATCACGCTGGCTCATTCGCCCAAGTGTCTGGAGGATGCTCATGTCCCTGAACTCAGTCTTTCCCCATCCCAAAGTAGGGATGCACACCAGTGGAAAGGCCTTAGGGACTGCAACTCTGAGCCTCACACCCTTCTGCCATACCATGGAGGTGATAGAGGGTGTGGAAAGAACAAAACGATAATTCCTGTCGATGCTTAGCCTGGTCCTAGCACCTGGTAACCTCCCAACACTTGTTAGCTGACATCAGGGCAAATTATTTAACAAATGGTCATCATTACTGTCAGATTATTCCTTCCTTCTCATTAGGCCCACAAGTTATATCCCTTTCCCACTGATGACTCTGAGACCGCAGTTCCTGCTTCTACTCTCTTATACCCTTTAACACCATGCACTTATTCCCAACTCCAGGTCCCAGAGAAACTTTCCTTCCATTTGAAGATAATTCTCAAAAACAGTGGGGCTCTTCTGGCTGGGGGCCAGATTCTGGGAATCCTTGATGAGGTCTGGGGTTCAGAGAGAAAGGTTTAGACAACCAAGGCAAATCTTCCAAACAGTGATAGGTAAGAAGATGCCATGTCCCCCAATCATTACACATCAATTTGGTAAAAACCATCTTTAAAGATTCATTGTGGGACGTATGAAAACTCAGATGGTTCTATTGTCACAATTGGGGGTTGGCAGCGATGGCAAATGGGCACAAACATCTGCATTACATATTTTAAAACAAAGCCACCTAAAACAGACATGGACTGAGACGTAACACAATAGAGAGGTGAACGATATTAAAGGCCATTCTCTTTTTAATTAAGGTTTTCTTCTCCACTGACAACGTGTAAGGTCGTATTTCCATGAAAGGAGAAAATAACTAACAGTACACAGTGGGCAAGATGATTCTTAACCGAAGCTCTCCCAGAGCTCCTTTGTGTTATGATAATGTGAAAATCGGTAGAAAAGGTGGCAATTTAGAATGATAACTGTGATTACTTTTTTGTCCTCCAAAAAGGAAGTGCTTCAGCCTCTGCCAGGGGATAATTGGAAGCTGGTGGCTTTAAAAGCACAGGGCCAGCCTGATGGCATTTATGTCATGGGCAAGGTTACTGCTGGTAGCTTGGGAGTTCCACAGTGCAGTTCAGGAGACACTCATCATGTTTTACCCCTCGAATCTGAAGAAATTGAACTCAACATCTAACGACCAATCCAGTTTTGCTAGCAGCCGTAGTGAGTGTACGCCAAGCAGAATGAAAACATCCAACAGCCTTCTTGTTGGAGACAGAATAGGGAATTCCAAAAAAGACTATAATATCTTCTCTACTAGATTCTTTACTGATGGAATTAACAGTGACAACAATAACAGTTGCATCTACTGAGTTGCTATTATTTACTGCTCTTAGTTACTTTTCTCTCGTTGCTGAGACAAAATACCCAACACCCAAAATGAAGGAAGGAAAGGTTTATTTAGCTCACAGTTTGTGGAGGTTTCAGTCCATACTTGGCTGGCTCCAAGGCAGAAGATAGCAAAGCAACAAGAGCAAAGCGGGGAATGGCAGCCGAACAGCAAAGAGCCAGAGCAAACCGGAGGAATG